GAAGCGGAGGATGGAACGGACGGCGGAGGGAGCAGTGAGTCGGAGAGCAGTGATGGGAGTGATGGTGAGAGTGCCGGTGAGAGTGTTAGTGTTGTGCGTAGGTTTCGTGGTAGCAAGTCTTCAGTGTACAATCATCTGCTGGCTAGTCCTGATTGTTGCGGTGCGTATTCCGACTCTTCGTTCACTGTATTGTGCCGTGGTCGTCATGGTTATGGACTACAGTTAAAGGTGTTGGAAGCTATCTATCAGCGTCTGTACAAGCCTAATTTGTGTGTACAGAAAGATAGTATAATTGGGTTGAAATTGTTCAAGTAACGTGTCGTGTTTAGTGCGGCCAAGCTTGGCCGTTAATGTTCTAGGTGTAATGTACTGCTGTTATGTGTTATCACGTTGTCTTCCCTTCCTTTCTCCTTTGTTCATTTCTCGCTTTGATTGTTAAAATTCACACTTGTAAATTTCACTGTTGTTGCTCTTAGTGTTATTTCTCTAACTTAGATTTTCTATAATAGTTCAATTTCTGTTTCAGTGTCCTTTAGTACAACGACGATTCCTGATGAGTGTTGTACGAAAACTTGTTTGAATCCATATTTTTTCCCTACACCATTTCTTCATATTTTCATCGTTTTATTGCACATCGTCTCCACCGTTTTTTACATTGCATGAATAAAGTACACAAATGTCGGTTCAGCTAGTTTTATTGATTGCGGTTATCAAATTGTTGTCTCCTCGCCGTGTGTTTAAGTAAAATAAAAAATGAAAATAAAAAACGACAATATGCAGCTGTGTAGTAGTAGTAGTAGTAGTAGTAGTAGTAGTATTTATTATTTGACTAGGGGAGTCCCAACAGGCATGGCCTTGTTACAGGGAACCCTAGGTGAATCTTTGTGAGGTGAGCAAAAGTACCAGCAGATTGTGCCTGACGACAGTTTGGAGGAAGAGTGTTCCACCGACCTGCCGCCAGAAAAGAAACTGAGCGCAGTCCATACCCAATATGTACAGTAGGTAATACTAAGGCAGCTGTATCCTGGCCACGAGTACGAGCATTTGTGTGCGGGCCAACTGAACGCAGGAGAAACAGTGACTGAAGGAGGGGGCTAGTAATTGATGACAAGCAGCGATAGACCAAAACGTATAGTTTCAAATTAACTCGTCGCTCAAACGAATACAGATGACACCGTTGTAAAACTAATGCAGTTGGGGTCATTCTATCTAAACCAAATGCCTTCTTCATCGCATTAACGTTGTTGTTGTTGTTGTTGTTGTTTATTTTACTTCGCAGATTCTAACGGGCAAGTTGCCCAATAACAAGAAAGCGAAGGCAAAGAAAATAATACTAATAAAAGAAATAACCGGGGCAGCAGAAAATGAATAGTAGCTTTAAGAACTCAGACGGTGAGCCAAGGAACAAATTTCCATGTTATCGCTAATAATCGCTTTTAAATGTAAAAAGAAAAGAGCGGGTGGTACAGCAGACTTCCTATTCTGAATTCCCTGAACGAAGCAGAGACATTAGCTGGGTACATGTCACTATTACACAGTAGCAAGAGAGCTACCTCGGTCGACATCAGTGGACGTGGACTGCGAGTGGATGCGACAGCAACAGTGACTGGAATAATGGGTGATACGTTTCATGGAGCGAGCGTATGTGGGATGACTGACATCTTGAACACACTGCGTTGGGGGATGGTGCGGATGTCGCTGGGTAGTGCGTTCCACAGCTTGGGAGCGGCAACAGAGAACCTAGCCTGACCAGCGCGGCTTGCGGCGGGTGGTATGTGCGCTCCGATGTCCTTCTGCAAGCGGGTACGCCGATCTGGTGACCTTGAAATCAGTCCACAGAGCCGGTTCCCCGCAATGCCGTGGATGCATCGCCAGGTGAGCAATAGCGCCTTTTGCTTGTGCAGCTCTGAGATTCGGTAGAGTTCCACCCGTTGGAGCAGAGGTTGAGCAGAGTCGTATGGCCGAGCGCCAAAAACTGCGCGAACCGCTTTGTTCTCCAGCGTCTGGAGATCCGTTGCTTGCTGGGCAGTTAAACAGAACACGAAACAACTTGATGCGTAGGTCAGATCCGGCATCACCACGGACTTCAAGTAGGTGACTCGGGCCGCCAGGCTCAAGCATCTCCGAGTCCGCCAGAGGGCACCTACTTTGCGGGACACCTTTGCTGTAATGGCTTTCAGGTGTTGCTGAAAGTTCAGCCCCTCGTCAATGATGACGCCAAGGTACTTCGCGCTGGTGACTGTCGGCAGAGCTTGGCTGCGACAGAGGACTGTGACCCGGGGTCCAGCGTCTCTACCAGGAAAGACTGTGAGAACTTGACTCTTCTTCTCATTCAGAATCAGTCCTCGCTCTTCCAGCCATGCAGCCAAGGAGGAGACTGCGGTGGAGAGCGTACTGGCAACAGCCTGAGTCGTGTCAGCGCTACAATATACTGCGACGTCATCGGCGAACTGGATTGTGGCTGCGGATTGGGCTACTTGAGGAACATCTCTTGTGTACACGTTAAAGAGCAACGGGCCGAGCACCGATCCCTGGGGCACACCGCAGCTGCAAGAGGTGATTGTGCTGCTGCTGGCCCCGAAACAAACTCGCTGTGTCCGCTCACTGAGGTAGCTGATGAGCCAGCGAAGGGGTCTGCCTGTCACTCCTAAAGCAAACAGGTCCTGAATGAGACGCTCATGACTGACTTTGTCAAATGCCTTGGAGAGATCGAGAAAGCACACTCCCGATACCTGGCGTCGATCGCGGGCCTCCAGGAGCGTGTCCGTCAGGACAACCAATGCATCTTCTGTTGAGTAGCCATGCCGGTACGCAAACTGCGTGTCAGGCAGCGCATGAACACGGGAAAGCTGACCTTGTAACTGGTTTTGTACAATCCGCTCGAGGATTTTCGAAATAATGGGTAGTAGAGATACTGGTCTATAATTCCCAGGGGAAGCAGGATCTCCCGATTTGAAGAGGGGGCGAACCTCTGCTAGCTTGAAGGCCCGAGGAACGATACCCGATTTCAGGGACATGTTGAAAAGTTGGGTGAGGCTTGGTGCGATGATGTCGGCAGTGGCGAGCACGTTCCGCCCACAAGTAGAAAAGGTGTGTTCAGTGGTCTTCGCTAAACTAGCCTGTTTTGCTCATGGCCGTCGCAATTTATCAGCTACAGCTCGGAGAACTTTCTTCTTGTCAATTATACAGTCTACTCTAGAATATGCAAGTAATGCGTATGTGCACTGTTTGAAAACTACCCTATATAACAGGCTTGTAACGGTCAGCCATATTGCGGCAATATGGCTGACCGTTACAAGCCTGTTATATAGGGTAGTTTTCAAACAGTGCACATACGCATTACTTGCATATTCTAGAGTAGACTGTATAATTGACAAGAAGAAAGTTCTCCGAGCTGTAGCTGATAAATTGCGACGGCCATGAGCAAAACAGGCTAGTTTAGCGAAGACCACTGAACACACCTTTTCTACTTGTGGGCGGAACGTTAAAAAAAAGGTGTGTTCAGTGGTCTTCGCTAAACTAGCCTGTTTGCTCATGGCCGTCGCAATTTATCAGCTACAGCCCGGAGAACTTTCTTCTTGTCAATTATACAGTCTACTCTAGAATATGCAAGTAATGCGTATGTGCACTGTGTAAGCAGTAGATGCACAGTGTGACTGCCAGGCATCTCCGTCAGATGCCAACTGGCAATTCTCATGCAGAGACATACCAGTGAAGTCCACGAAACGATATTGTCAGCAAAGGAAATCTTCGGACGACCACGCTTTCTCTTACCATCCACGACACCAAACATCACGTCACGTACAAGCTCGCAGCCAAATGGGCGGCATGTGTGCCCGAAATAGGTCAGCTTGCGCATCTTGACCCTGGCTAGTAGCTGTCTCTGTACTCCCAACCCCACCAGGATACTTTCATTCGTGCGCTTCTCCATCCAGGATACTCTGACTCAGTCTGAGCAGATGTCGGTAGCACCACATTTCTGCTGCCTGTATTCGTCGTTCATCTGTCTTCCGGAGAGTCCAACTCTCAGCTCCATACAGCAGGACCGACCACACAAGGGCATGCATTATCCGGATTTTCAGCTGTCTGGAGATGTTGTGGTCTTTCCAGATATCAACTTCAACTACCTACACCCTACAGTATTCTAATATTATGACGTCATGTTCACTGATTATCTATGTCCGACTCCGCAGCACACCCACACGCAAGCGCATCAGACAGGGTCATATTGCACCTATTCCCTGTGTGGTACAACTTCCCCTACTGCGAAGTGCTGAGTTGCAATCTTGATTTTCACAGGTATTCTTTGTATGACAAATACATGAAGTAGTATTTTACTAGTCAATATGATACTAGTCTGAAGTTGGTTTTGGGCTCACTTTCGGCCATTCCGTATTCTTACAACACTGACTGATATAGTCTGTGTGACCAGAACAGCGGCATAGAGGAACGAACACATTCTGTCAACCTCTACACCCATTGAGAGTCGATTCGCCTGTGAGACTGAATGAGATCACTCACATAGCGCATGAGGTTGAGTTTGAACAAAATCAATAAAATGATGGCGGAACCGAACGATCCTGCTTGTCTTCCTATTATCGACTTGTATCTGTTCACCAGTAGCCGCCCTGTCAACGTATGATGCACTATGGACTACAGTTGATTGACAGGGGATAAGATAAACAGTGCTAAGAAAAGGTTACCGGTATACTTGTTTTAATAAACAGTGCTGAGAAAAGGTTTTACTTTAAAAAGGCTGATGCAAAACGATAAGCAGCATGTTTCGGCCTCTTGATCACCGAAATAAGTCCACCTTCACCACAGGCCTGATGTAGGCTGTGAATTGGTTGAATTCGTAACTGTTGTCGGGGTTTGAGCCACAGCACCTGGGCCCGTGATCGTCTACATGTGAGATTGACACGCTCAAGGAGATCCTACACAGCTGGGTGCAGTGCAGGCGCACACGTACACCTACGCAGTATGCATAACTACTTTGCACGTCAATCGTTATGTGGCTTCGCTACTTTTCACGGTAATTTGCAAAACAAAAGTTGAGCCACTACTAAATTTAGATTTCACAGGCTCAGGCGGACAATAGCTGAACACGTTTATTCGCCGCACACGTGTTGAGGGAAACAGGGAGTGGAGAGTGGAGGGTTCTTCTCGCATACGGTCTGCGGTATAATACACTAAGACTAGAACTTGAGGTAAGACCTGGAGATTGAGAGGAGATGGTGATCGTGTGTGTGTGTGTGTGTGTGTGTGTGTGTTTGTGTGTGTGTGTGTGTGTGTGTGTGTGTGTGTGTGTGTGTGTGTGTGTGTGTGTGTGTGTGTGTGTGTGTGTGTGTGTGTGTGTGTTGTCTGAAGAGAAAGCAAACACAGCCCTCCTGAATATCAAGGAGAGGGGACATTTTAAAGTTAATTAAAATCGGCAAGACAAGCAAAAAGTAGGGGCGATGTGCCAATGGCTATCCGCCCAGACGACTCACAGCCATGCATCGATAAACAAAGTGACAAAAATGAGGATGAAGAATGAAAAAGAAGGGAAAAAGCAAAGAAAGTAAAAAGCCTGTTTCATACGATTCAGATAACCGGTAAACGGGAAGTAGGAAAAGAACGAGAGAAGGTAAAATGTCTATACTATGTTATAGTTATGGAAGTCACGGCCGAAGGGAGTGTGGTAGAGGATTGAAGAGGGACCTACGTCGTCGATTTTTTCAGCTAAAAGCGTGCTATAGTATAGAGCTTTGGTCCGAAGCGTGCAGGGCGATGTGTAGGTATGTGTGATTGTGGGCGGATTGGTGTGTTTGTGTGTGTGTGTGTGTGTGTGTGTGTGTGTGTGTGTGTGTGTGTGTGTGTGTGTGTGTGTACAAGTTGCTATATCTAACATAGCTGTTCGCTATCATCGCTTCCACGATGGGCAGGTCTGAGGTGTGTGCGCGTGTGTGTGTGTAGGTATGTGTGATTGTTTGTGTGTTTCGTGTTCAGTCCCTTACCGGGCCACATCGCCAGTCGTGGCTATGGAAGAAGGAAGGAAAGAAGGTGTGTTTGTGTGCGTTCGTGAGTGTGTGCGTGCGTGTGCACGTGCGCGTGTGTGTTTGCGATACATGTATGGAGATGTTGATAGCAGTTGCCCTTGTGCATTATGGGAAGCGACAAATGAAAGAGCAACTACTTCCACACGACACATCGTTCCAGGCTTGTGAGTCTGTGTACAGAGCTCCGCAATCTTCTTCTCCTTGGTTGTTGGGCTCACCAGGGCCCCATTTTGAGTAGGTCAGATGATTGCCTTCCTGATCTCTCCACCGTCCTTCCGCTTTCAGGTCTGTCACGTCAATCCAAATGCATCCGCTGTGGCCTTGTTGGCTTGCCTGATGCAGAGCAGCGGTTTGCTCAGAACTACTCTTAGGCACTGTCAGTGCACCACCTAGGGTAATGCACTTGTCTCTCGCTGCAAACCAAGTCACGTCCTCACGGAAAAACCTTATACCGCCTGGGAATTTCGGCGAGCTAAGCCCAGCTAGGATATTACTCTGCATGCTTCCCAAGCGAGATAGGATCGCGCTCTCCAGCTTGGTAATGTGCGCTCTGTTAGCGCTGTCCTGCTGGGCGAATCGGGACTGCATGGCACTCTGTTGTTTAGCGAAGCGTTCATCAAACTCTTGACTCGTCAGAAGATGATTTTGGCATGTGCTACCGACGTATCCCCTTGGACAGTCACAGGTGAATCCAGTTGTCAAGCTACGACACCTGCCGCCATGAGCACACGGATTCTGTGGATTGCAGTTGTCTTTGGCAGACTGGCACTGCTTACCGATGTACTGATGTCGGCATTCACAACGGTAGTAAGGCGCCGTGCTCAGACGAACACACTTGCCTCCATTCTGGCATGTCAGATTACTTTCAGTAGTGAAGCAAGCATCAGTTTGACATTCGTCGCCTTTGAAACCAGCTTTGCACGAACATCGGTATGAAGGGGCTTTGCCAGTCGGATTATGTGGTGAGCATTTCCCACTGCCCGTACAGAATTTGAAAGTACTACAAGCAGAAGTCTTACCGGAGAAGCAGCTTGATAGTTTGAGAACATCGCCTGAATTGCGAACACCGAAAAATCCGAGCACAGATGCTGGTAGCGCTTGAAGAGAGGAGGTGTCAATGTCCTTTCTAGCAAACGATCTTTCATAGGACTCTGACTTGATTGCCGACACTCCGGCGGCTCGGAAGTAGGTCGCCACGCAACCAGCGGAGGCTGAGACTGGTTTAACGTCAGTACAGAGCAGACAACCCAGTAACAACACAAATGTGCAACTAGCTACTGACAACGCTCCGTCCATGTCTGCTTCGCTTGGTCTTGTTTCACTCTCAGAATCACTTTTATCGGAACAGGTTCAAAATCACAACTGAGGGATAAACTAGAAAAGTTCGGTTGATATAGTAGCGCAAGGACATCTGATAAGCTCTGCTCTGAGTACTAGTACTCTGTAATGAAGCCGAACATTCTTTGTTCTGCTTTTATAATCAACACGTCGGTGCTATTGGTACTGTTTACCTGCATTTACCGGTAGCTGCATTGATCAGTCTAGGCAGCTGCCGTAACCAGCCCGAAATTTGTCTATGGGTACAGCGCGGAGAATATGACCGGTAATAGGATGTGGGTTGAGGCTCGAGGACTCGCCACACCAGCAACACAACTGTGTCTCAGTGTGGCCGATTCCGCCACCGGTTTCCGGTATGACGTCAAAACAGTATCATCGTACTGCCTAGGCTAGAGGCCACTGTTGTTATCAGCCACCGCACTCGCTCTCTCTATACCAAGGATCACCACGTGCATGTACATGTACATGTATGCTGTACTATAAGTCGACGAATATTTGGCGCGTACATGTAATAATACAATTACTAGTAATGGGTTTTTGGCCCTAGGAGGCCAAAAGTTGTAGATTTACAGTACATGGTGAAAAGGGAGAAGGACAAAATGTTACGAGTTATGACTAACTGTCCACCAACGTAACCAGATCTTACACAGTCAGCGAGTGCGACAAAAGTGGACAGTTAGCCATAACTCGTAACATTTTTGTCCTTCTCTTTTTTCACCATAATTTAATTGGCTCACCATCCGAGTTGAACTTACAGTACATAGTGAGAATTATGCATTACGTCATATTTACCACATGAATTACTCAATCTGCGGACAGATCTGTTTCGTCCTTTGTGGACTCGTCAGCGCAGCACAGAGGAAATGAGGCCGAACCTGACAGCAATGGAAATAAAAATTTCCAATCAGGCCCGAACTTTACCTTGCCAGAGTGCTCAAACGGACAAGTCAGTGAGCTCTGCATAACGCAAAACAGCAAAGGCACTACCCAACGCAAGAGTGCTCAACTGCTACGAGAGCAGGAGCACACATGCATGCATGCATTACATATTTACGACATACATTATGCACATGTACATGACTGTATGTACATGCCAGAATCATGCTGTAGTAAAATCAAGGTTTCTCACTACTCCTTGGTAAGCATCCATTAGCAAGACCATAACTTTTGCATAAGTCCAACCAGGGAACGTCGCTGTTAGCTACCTAAACCTACATTGTACATGACTACACATGAATGTGTACTACAGTCGTGACAAAGAAATACGAACCACGTGCGATAAGCAGCGCCAAGGCTCGTGTAGTTCCTAGGCTCGTGCAGCTTCTGCGCCCTCAGCTCGGTTTTCAGAACGTTCATGGTATAATTTTAAAATTGGACACGAGGTGCTGCTTTTGTCCCTTTGATCGAATTTCTTTTTCCTAGACGTTAGTAATAGTTATCTGTTTTTACTGCACTACCCGTATACATGTGTATGTACATGTACATGACTGCATAGATTTACTCGCTAACTCGCTTTCCACCTAACACCCGCCATTCATACTCACTTTGCACACTCGTTTTCCGCACTCGCTTTGCCACCTGGCTATGAATGCTCACTTTGCACACACGTTTTCCGCACTCGCTTTCAGCACTCGTTTTCCGCACTCGCTTTGCCACCTGGCTATGAATGCTCACTTTGCACACTTGTTTTCACACTCGTTTTCCTCGCTCCGTTCCTGGAACTGGGTCCCACCTGGAGATTACTCTGCTATTTTCCGTCTCTCCTTTCCTGCTGACATGTTTGGACATTCGGGATCACTGATATGGACGTTGGTGTACTCACTACTCAACCAAACTGGATCCTGCTAGAGCTCCAGTACTATTACTAATACTAGTACATGTATTATTAGGCTTGGCAATCAGCTGTCGTGTACGTGTACAATAATCAACATACAGTCATGTACATGTACATCGTACTTGTACTTCGAGCTGTCATTCTGTTGACTGCTGTACATGTACAGGATGTCCGCTTGCCAGCCCTGACCTGTCAATGGCCACAATTGCGCTGGCAGGCTTCATCGTGGGGGAAGAGTGAGTTGCTCCCTGGCCTACATCAGTACAAGGAAGCTCGCGGTTTTCCTGCCCACTTGAATTCTCACTTGACTGACTCACGACTCATCGTGTTGGAGGATAACTGCAGGCGAGAGGCGAGAGGCGAGACAAGTATTATTGTACTAGTAACCTACAGGTATGGACTGGACATGGCATCTGAGCTACAACGTAATACATGATTGTACAAGGAGGAAAACTTCCTTCTGCCAGCGGAGAGGGCTCAACACAATAATATGGAGCACTATTGCACACAAAAGGAACAACGGACGTTTACAGAGTTGTCGCAACACAGAATTTCTTGCTCAATGCAATCGTCAGACGACTATCCCATAGTCGCCTGATGATTGCATTGAGCAAGACACTCCGAGTTGCGACATCTCTGTAAACCTCCATTGCACCTTTTGTGTGTAGTACATGATTGTACAGTTTTTGAACACGAAACTATTACTCGGAGTAACGAGAACGCTTTTTGGTCTCTGTTTTTCTGCCTTGTGACTCGTGTGAGGCTGTGATTGTGCATAACATACATTCATACACATACATTCATACACATACGTTTAATTTATACTCTGCATTTATACACGGTGCATGCTTTATTAGTTTGACAGCATAATATTATTACAAGGTGCTAGAACACCGTGCATGTTTTTTTGTTTTGTTTTTACTATGTTCACATGTTCACATACCCAACTAATAATGAAAGACAATAGTACTGAGACAAGGGCACACGTGACAACTACTGAGTAGGGGCAACACCGAGACGCAGCAGTGATGGTGGGGCATTGATGGCTCTGCCGACCTGAGGTCTCGGCATTACGGCCAGAAACACGCACCAAAAACAAACGATAGAGCTGTAAGGGTCAACAAAATAAAAAGAAAGCAAAGGTTAACATCAGCTAGTGTGCAGCGCAGCATTATTATTATTATTATTATTATTATGAAATGACCCAAAGGCAATGTGCCTATCGAGGGGTTCATTTGATTGAAAGAACAGTAGATGTAGATGTATGTACAAAGAGAAGTAGGGATTGATAAGGAGAGAAATGGGGAAAATCAACTGCAAGGTGGCGGAATTCCGTTGATTGCATAAGCATAGTCAGCTGTAAATTTCCTGAGGGCAGCTTTGAACTTATAGAGCGAGGCTTCCGATGTTAGACTGGGGGGTAAACAGTTCCATAGAATAGCAGTTCGGAACATGAAGAGAGACTTAGACAATGATTTAAATTTGGGAAGAATGATTTTATTTGGTCGTCGCTCACTATTCGTAATCTTGAAATGGAAATCAGCAAGGTAATCACGATGATGGAAAACATATCTGTGAAAAGTAGTGAGACTGATGATTTGACGACGATAGGCTAGTGACTCTAGGGAGCATTTAGAATTTAAGACAGATTTGGAAGCATCGTAGCAATGGGAGTCGTTGACGGGGCACTAGAATGTGGGTGGGTCGACAGGCAGAATGTTCGTGGACCATTGCCAATCCTGTGAAGTGTGGGCGGAGGTATTCGTTGACGTTGCATTTAGAGCAGGCGGCAGGGAATTCCACAGCTGGATTGCACAATACGGGAAACTGCGGAGAATGGTGTCTGGTGCTTGATGCGGTAGGGGACTTCTTAGCTGGTAACTATGGCGCGAGCTCCAGTGTGGAAGCAAACCCATTCCTAAAAAGTCATCGCCGAAGTCGCAACCACTATTTCGTAGAGCTGTGATTTAAATTGTATTTAAAAAAAGAAAAGAAAAAAAGAAGAGCGCAACAGTATTCAGCACAAAATCAGAAAAATACTGAGGCAGGATGGAGGCGACTTCTGGCAAAGGCAGGCAGAAGCTACTGATGCTTTACGACCTGACCCACGCTCCTATTACAATGCAATCCGGTATCTGCGCCAAATGAAGTCGAACACCAACACTCCTCCTGTTCGGCTGGCAGACGATAATGGCAATATCATGACAAGCATTCAATGGAATCTCGATACATTTAGTAAATACTTCCAGGCAATATTTCATCGCCCTGACCTACCCTGTGATTTCCGTGGCTCGCAAGATATCAATGATGAGGAATTGCCGTTTACCACCCAAGAAGTCACTTCAGCAATCAGTAAACAAAAAAGGAGGCGCGGTGGGACCCGATGGAGTCAGTGCGGAAATGCTACGAGCTGCTAAGGACCTCCTCAGTCCTTGGCTAGCCTCTTTCTTCAATGCAATACAGAGTGTTGGTTATTGCCCTGACGATATGCGCAGTGGATTGGTAGTACCTGTATACAAACCAGGCAAGCCACTCGGAAAACCGAAATGTTTCCCCCGAACATGTTACTCTCTGTAGTGAGAAAGGTGCTGACGTCAGTTATTACTAAACGTAGCACGGATGACATCACAGTTTATGTCTCTGAAACCCAGGCTCGATTTCGTCCAGGTCGCTCAACCGCTGATGGTGTATTTTATACAAGGTCGCTGTGTGAGCGCGCCTTGCTTGGCAACTGGACATATTCCGTCACCCTCCTAGATTTCTCTGGTGCATTTGACACTATAATTCGCACCACAGCACGTGTAGAGGAAGCAGATATCAGCACAACAACTATCATGACTTTCCAACACGACAGCCAGGATCACGGTGAGTGGCTCCCTGAGTCCACCATTCCCAACTACATGTACAACTACTAAAGAAGGGGGGGGGGGGCAGAGAGAGAGAGAGGGGGGGGGGGGCAGAGAGAGAGAGAAGGGGGGGGGGGCAGAGAGAGAGAGAAGGTGCAACGAGCACATCACTGAGAAGAAGCAGCAGAAGGTAGCGCGCCATTGCATTGTGCTCTGTGAAGTGAGGAAGCGTGCCATGGCGTCACGCAGATTGTAGCGCCAAAAGAAAGAAAAAGGATGCGAGTTATATCATCTATATGCAGAGGGGGGAGAGAAGATGAAGCCGTGCACATCACGGAGAGGAAGAGCGCGCCATTGTGCTCTGCGAAGTGAGGGTACATGCCAAATAATCATGGCGTTGATTCTAGCACATTACAGGAGGGGAGCATGGAGGCCCATGCGCCAACAAGCATTGGGATTATGGAAAGCGGCAAGTGAAGGAGAACGCGCGTCCACAATTATCATCATGCCATCTCCCTCCATTCACTAGAAAGCGCGCACAATGCTCTGCCCCCCGGTTATTTCCCGGTTCATTGCGATCCCATGGTGTATATGTCAGTGTAACACCTTTGAGATCTTTCCAGCGACTTTCTTGAGCTAGATCGGAAGCACCAATCCAACTGTATGCGTATTCTCTCACCTGTCGAGCTAGCAAACTGATAACGCGCCCTTCTGCTGCGTTTCTGGGCACTGCAAGAATACCTCCGAGATCCCGACACTTGTATCTCGCTGCATGCCAAGTTGAAGGGTCGCGGAAAAAGCGAAGACCTGCTGGAATGGCACGCTTTCGGTCACTAGCGAGAAGTCGATTCTCCAAGCTTGCTAAACGGTTGAGAATGGCTTTCTCCAGTTTGGAGATACGCGTGTCCTGCTGCGCGAACTGTGAATGAATGGCGGTTCGCTGGTGGGCGAAGTATTCGTCCAGCTTCGGTTTTGTGAGCAGATGATCTTCACATTTCCTTCCCGTGTAGCCTCTAGCACAGTTGCAGGTGAATCCTGCTGTCACGCTACGACATCTACCCCCATGGGCACACGGGTTCTGTGGCCCACAGTGATCTCGTGCAGACTGGCAGTTTTCACCAATGAAATTCTCTGGACATTGGCAGCGGTGGTAGGGAGCAGTGGACAGAGGAATACACCTGCCTCCGTTCTGGCACGTCGGGGTGCTTCCATCCTCCAAGCATGCATTGGTTTGGCACTCCTCGCCCTTGAACCCAGCTTTACACGTACATGTGTATACACGCGACTCACCGCTACTACCGTGACCAACTCCAAGTACACACTGTCCATTGCCATTACAGTGTTGGAATGAAGCACATGCTGGAATACGTCCTGAGAAGCACTCAGATAGCTTGATGACATCCGCCGTGATGTTTACACCAAACACTTCCAAGACGGTCAGAGGAAGAGAGGAGATGTCATTAGCTGGGATACGTCGTTGCGCTAAGCCCACTTCATACCTTGCCGCCCTCAATCTGGGAATACCAGCCTGCTGTAAGTGAGTAGCCACGCATGATCCGTGTCGTCTCTCTCCACTCGTACGCAACCATAATGCTGCCAGCAACAACAGCAGCAAGTAACTCTGGCCAGCAGATACCCGTGTCATGGTTGGGGTACACCGTACACTGGAAAAGCCAGGAAGAACCAACAAACCATACACTGCTACTACGCTGATGTCTAGCTATCATTAAACCTCACAGTCAGGATGTCGATGTCGAGTCTAGTAGTACTCTGCTGCTTATATACCCTGCAAAGTGCTCGCTGTTTTCAGCTGAAATTCCCCAGCTTTGCGTACCATCAGTGCAGCTAGCATTACTAAAGATGGCGACAGACGCTGAATATCGTGCTCCCCAAGGACAATCTTTTTAGCTGTTTTTGTTTTTGTTCAGGTGAAAAGTCAGCAGTTCATGTGTAATAATGCTGATTTGGCGGTTTGTAGGACTCTCCATGCTCCGGAATATGATTGACCAATTGTACAGTGACAGCTGATAAACTCCAACGTGCTCCTGGCTCGTCTCCGTATGCATTCATTCCGACACATGTTGGCAGGCATTGCTGTCCTCCAAATTTAATTAGAGTCTCAATATGCTGACAGAGGCCGAAAATTCATCCCGGGGTAATCCCCCACAAATGCACTATGACAGTATTGAAACGTAGACGTACCTGTAAGCGGCGAGAAACTGTACGGTGCGAGACATGATCGACACAAGAACAGTATTCTGGTGGATTGATTCATTGACTTGCAAACACTTCCCTTCCCCGGATAGGCTCTCCGCTGCGGCAACAGGAATGAAAGGACTGTCAATATGTCGCCCATTGCGCATCATCATGGCATTGAGGGGGAGGGGGGGGGGGGGCAAACATGAACTACTTATAGTATACAATAATGCTGTCAGAGAAATTCTCTAGAACCCACACATACCCACACATCATGCAATTAGCAAGAAAACAAAAACAAAACAAAAAAACAAAAAAAACGATCATGAAGGCATTGTACGATCATGAAGGCATTGTACGATCATGAAGGGCTAAGACACTTTGCTAAACGTACTAGGGTTGACTGGCCCGCATCATCTCCCATTCATTCAACTTTGTATAAGGTATGCAGACGTAAAAAATATTAAGTACGAAGCCTAACAGGTCTTGGAAGTGCGTTAACTAAACTTGTCTCCATGCAGTGCAATATGTCCAAGGCAACAAAACCTCATTCAACTGGCCCCTGCGGTACCGTCTCAGTTACTGTTGTCTGGAAATGCCACTCCTTTCCCTTAGTTGCCACGGTCCTCTACGTCAACTGGTCACCTTGAAACTGAGAACAGTTAGTATGATCCATGCCACTGTGACTACATTGAGCACTCCCCTGACAAACAGATACATCTGAAGTTCCGTCACTCGGGTGGTTTTTACACGAAGAATATTTTTAATGAATGGACATTTGCAAGACCAGCTTGCATGCAAAAAGAAAAGAAAAAAACCAAGTGAAAACTCTGCCTTGTAAGGGATTGAGAGCGCGCAGCACATCGAAGAGTGAAGAAGAGCAAAAAATCACGGTTCGCGTGAGACACGGCTGGAGGCCGAGCTGAGCAAAACACGAGTACTAGAAGTAGAAGCAGTGACGTGGATTGCAAGCAACTATGTGCCGCATTGAAAAATGCACACAAAACACAAATATCAGAGCTCCATATCGGGAGGTAAAAGAGAATGGCACCAGGCCCCTTTAGCAGAATTATAATAGCATTCGATGATGCACATTTGTTTTAAAATGTAAAGCAAGCATAGATAACACAACACCGTCCGGGCGGCACAGACCGGGTAGCTCGTGTTCGTCCGGAATTCCGGCCCTCCATAGTCTGCCGGCCGGAGACGAGATGAGCAAACATTTAAACTACACGAGTAGAAATTTCGAAAGAGAGCAACGAGAATCCTTACGGTGTGCGGGTCTTAATTCCACTGCACAGCAGCGGGGTTAGCAGTAACGTGAAAATATATTAGAGGAATGAAGTAAATGCAAGCTGGCATGAAGCTGATAGACAAGTACGGGACAACAAATACACAAGCATGCACAAATACAAACAAGCACGTACACACACACACACACACACACACACACACACACACACACACACACACACACATACACACACACACATACACACACACACACACACACACACACATACACACACACACACACACACACACACACACACACACACACACACACACACACACACACACACACACACACACACACACACACACACACACACACACACACACACACACACACAAGCGTGCACGCACTCAGGCACGCACACACACACACACATACATGAACACACACACACACACATACACACACATGCGTGCACACACTCACGTACGCAAACACACACACACACACACACACACACACACACACACACACACACACACACACACACACACACACACACATGAACATACACACACACAGAAAGCCGTACCGATGCAGCTGGGGTCCACTAGACAAGCTCGACATAGTTATTCGGCAAAAGCCCCACGACACCGGTGGAAAGAAGACGTCCGCGATACCACCCTTCCTGGTCCGGAATATCCACCAGCACGTCGATCTCATCTGCCTCGACGAACGACAGCTCATCCGTACTTGCACCGGTGTATGCGTATATAGCGCGTACGCGATACGCCACGTCACTAGTGCCATCAGCCGCACCGGCCGTTGCTGTTGCCGTGGTGTCATAGTATATGAACTGACCGCCCTCGTCATAGTAACCAAGATGGCTCCAGTCTTGCTGCTGCTGCTGGTCCTGTGATTGGCTGTTGTCATAGCTACCGTCAGCTGACTGTGTATACTGCGGGTCGTGAGATACAGCGTCGGTTGCGGAGGTTGCAGAGGTGACCGCTGATGATGATGGGGCTGGTGACGTGGTCTGACTTGACTTCTTTGCGGCAGGCGCCACTGGTGCTTTCCTCTGCGGCCGCCGTGTACTACCCGTCATGCTCTCTCCCGTACTTGCTTCAGTGCCTGTTGACGCGGTCAGCTGACTTTCACTGGCAGTGGAGGGGGCAGCGGTGGTGCTGGTACTGGTTGGGTTAGGGTCCGCAGTCGCGGTGTCGGGACTGCCAGTCGAAGAAGTTGAAGCTGCTGCTGCGACTGTACTGGCAGGTGCTGCTGTAGGTGTTGCTGCTGATGCTGCGGCAGCAGCCATGCTAGACTGATTGGCAGTTGAAGATGCTCCAGCAGGCGACGATGCTCCAGCAGTTGCCGACGAGTCATCTGCGTCTGTACAAGAATCCGATAGACAGAGCACACACAGTCAACTTTGTGAACAGCATGGGCATAACAACAACTCACGACTATCCACACAAACTTCTGTCTTAGCGACCATTTTACTGCAAAGGTTCATCCTCACGAACAACACCAACTCGAAAACAATCAGGGTTATAGCCAGAACAAAAGTAGGGGGGGGGGGGGAACAGACCAACCATTGTACTTCCATTCCATGTATTTATTCCCCGATCACTGGAACCCGCCATTGATATGGTATTTAGAGGTAAGTGATGGTTGTGATGCAATGACTCATACAATGCTGCGCCACTATACGAACATGATTTGTCTGCATCATCATTTGACATGCATATAGAAAGTTGGCCCTCGCACTCTGAAGGGTGGCGCATTCATTTTGAAAAGGGGTGGTCAAAGAGTGAAGGAGGGCGCAGCGCTGCGCTATGTCGCTTTGACGAGAACCCTGATAATGACACTGCGCACATAAATGATCGATGGTCATTATCCCCAAGCTTGACAGTACTACGTTTAACGGCTCTAAGTCGAACTTGTTGTACGACCAATGAACTAGAAATAGGTCATCGTATAATGCATGTACAATTGGGGTTGGATCGCCATTGAACATGTCAATCAAGGACCCAAGTAGAGGGGGGGGGGGGGGCATTGAATATGTCAAACAAGAACCCAAGTAGAGGGGGGGGGGCATTGAATATGTCAAACAAGAACCCAAGTAGAGAGGGGGTCGACCTATGGTCAGGGTAGACTATTAACTGGAAAAGTACGGTACATCGCTGGCACACTTCTAAAACTAGCGGTGTCGGCAGGTAAAATAATCTAGATTAGGGTAAAACTCCACCACACTGAGAGTTTCATCAATGAAAGCAAACGAGTCTGTGAAGTTCACTCAGGCACTTTCTGAGATGAGGGCAGAACAGAATCCCACAGAATACAAGAGTTCCGAAGTGTTAACACACAGAGCTAGACATGCTTACCTGCAGTCATCTGCTTGCGTTTGGCTAGCTTAGCCTGCAGTGCTCCCATGAAATCCATTCCACCTCCTCCTCCTCCTCCTGCTCCACTTCCAGTTCCACTTCCAACAGCATTTCCTGCAGACCCTGGTGATCCGGCGTTGTCCTGTGAGTCGACTTTCTTCAGCTTCTTCTGTGCAAGCATGTCTTGAAGAGAAGAACCCGCTCCACTGCCAGTACCACTACTGGACACCTTCCCTGTGTCATCTGACCCGGGAGAGGAGAATAGGGATGGTGGCGGCGGCGGTGGTGGTGGGGGTGGCCCCCCACCGGCTGATGTTGGTGGTGGTGGTGGGGGCGGTTGAGGAGTAGGTGGTGGAGCAGCAGGTGTTGCTGCTGCTGATTTTTGTGCCGGAGGTGCAGGCCTTGCAGGAGCAGCCAATTTAGGTGCAGGTACAGCAGCAGCAGCAGCAGCAGGTACTGGAGGTGCAGGCGCAGGAGCTGGTGGTGCTTGAGCTAATGGCTTGCTAATGTGCGGCGCAGCCTTTGGAGCCAGTGCACCTGGTATTGTGACTTTGGACTGAGCAGGACCATCAGGCTGGGCTGGTGCTTGTACAACTGGCTGTGTTCGAGATTGTGTCACTGCCTGAGCTAGTGGCTGTGAGGGAGGTTCAGCCTGCGATGGAGTGAATGCAGAAAAATCAGCGGCCCAATCCGCATCATTATTTGCCTTGTTGGCAGCGGTTGCTACTGGCTCAACGGTGGCTGCCCTCGTTGTGTTTTCTTCAGTAGATTCTTGGTCGTGTTCATCACCTCCGTTTGTTGGAGGTGACGGTGATGCAGCGTTGCCAGGTTGAACTCCTGTAGAGGACGATGCTGCTATCGGGGTAGCTGCGGCGCCCTGAGCAGCGGCAACGGATCTGCGAGCGTTGCTTGGAGGCGGCGGCAGGAGGTTTCCTGTCGCAGCCTGTGCCACTGGGGCGTTTAAAGCTGACACCTAAACACATCAGCACAAAGCAAACACATCAGCACAAAGCAAGCGTACTGTTAGTCTACATATTTTCGGCACATTCAAAGTTCACCCTCCCAGGGCTAAAACATATTTCGGCTGCATTCGAATTTCAGCCTGTACCGCCGCTGCCTGGATACACTGTCACACTGAACTCTGCAAAACAAAATTTCGCCCGCAACAATTTTTCGGCCAGATATGACCAGGTGGAATTTGTTCACTTGCAGTAGTCATTATCAGCAGCAAATACCTAATGAAAATCATCCTTCATCTGTACCCTCTGGGTACTGGGTGGTTGTACAGAAGATACATAATGTGCAAATAGCTGCACTGGAGTGTTTGAAGGCTTAGAAACGTCAATCTGAGTTGAGTACAACTTTCGACATCAAGGGAATAACTATAGCCTGGTCGTCACTATTGTCCAGGAGTGCTGGGTCCCGCGTACCTCTGCATGGTGCTGGGTCCTGCGCACCCCTGCATGTAACCCTGTGCGCTGCTTTAGGCCACTGTGCACAGGGATAAATATCCAAGTACTTGCTCCGGGGCTGTCCACCGCAGGTCTCGGGGACTATTCACCCATGGTCTATCCACTACATGGGATATCCACCCCATGGGATATCCACTCCAGGGGCTATACACTCCAGGGGCTATACACTCCAGGGACTTTTTACCCCAGGGACTATTTACCCATGGGATATCCACTCCACGGTCTATCCACTCCAGGGGCTATACACTCCAGGGGCTATTCAATCCAGGGGCTATTCAATCCAGCGAATTTTTATCCCGGGGACTATTTACCCAAGGACTATTCACCCCATGGGCTATCCACCCCATGGGATATTCAACTCATGGGATATTCACTCCAGGGATTATTCACCCCAGGAGCTATTCACCCGGGGCTGTTCACGCCAGGGACCATTCATCTCAGGGAATATTGACCAGAAACTATTGCCCAGCGACTATCCTCAGAAAAGTGAAGTGGCCCCTTCCAGTCTCGCACCACCATGACAAATCCGAGAGAGCGGAAACTATAGGGAACTGTCACGGTGTGTCTACCTCCAAGACCATAACACATGCATCAAGAATGTTCACTGCACAAGATTCTACACATGACGACAATCAGTTTACTTGCCTTCACATCTACAGTGTCAGGTCTCAATTGCAATTGCTGCTGTACAGCTGCGGCCGAGACGTAAGGAGCTGGTACGGAGGGTGGCGCTGCAGGTGGTGTCTGCCCTTGACTTGACGTGACGGGCTGTGGGGACTGAGATCTGGAGTGACTTGCTGAGGGAGGTGCAGAGCTTTGAGTCGATGCGGCTAGGAGATTGTCAACGTACTGTGCAAGCTTGAGCAGACCACCGTGTGCGGTCTTCGTGGCCGTTGATAACGCTGGTCGCATGGCTTGGCCAGGACTGCTGGCATAGGACTGTATTGATTGTGGATAGCATGATGTGTTTGAAACACAGAGGAAGAGAGAGAGAGAGAGAGAGAGAGAGAGAGAGAGAGAGAGAGAGAGAGAGACAGAGAGAGAGAGAGAGAGAGAGAGAGAGAGAGAGAGAGAGAGAGAGAGACAGACAGACAGACAGACAGAGAGAGAGACAGACAGATAGACAGACAGAGACAGAGAGAGGGAACAATTTCATATATGCACCACAGACTAGAGACACTGATTTACCCCACACAATGTTCAGTATGCTCAGAGCTGCATTTCCGTGTAGAAAGTTGGGTTGCGAACACGGTTTCGGATTATTAGAAGTTGACGGATAACAAAGCTCGAAATACCAAGCGTGCGCTGTGAAACTAGGACTGGAACTGAATATTACGGTGACAAATTCTCATGGAGGTCAAACCAAAATTCAACTAATCGCAAAGTCTAGAGATGAACTTTTTGAAATAATTATGTCCTATCCTACAACTGGAAGCCCTTGGTGCAGCGGAAAATTGTCTTCAAATTACAGGATTCCTGTTGATCCAGGGATGCACGTTCGATCCACAGCACCTTGGTGTGTGAAAACGTGTCCGATCAATACATGCTACAGGGTCCCATTATAATAGGTATATGAGTAGTTGTGACAAAGGGTTTGCTCCCCACACTGGAGCTCGCGCTATTCCGCTGACTTTACTTGACACTTGACAAATCATCAAATCATCAAATCAAATCAAATCAAATCATCAAATCATCGCCGCAGTCGCAACCACTACTTAGTAGTTGTCACACCTAGCAAATCTTGTACTCACTCTTGCAGCCTGCAGTAGTGCATTGCTAGCTGTGGAGATATCCTTGCCGTGTTGTATCCAGACTGGGCGCTGTGTCAGCACACTGTCATGCACCGAGCACTCTTTACACTTGCTGCACGCCGTGGCTAGCTGCTGGGCTATGTGACGCACCGCTGATATCAGCTATGGGGCGGGGGTGTACAGGGAATCAAGATGTGTACGCAAAGAAGCGGTACGCACACACACACATACGCACACACAGAAATACACACACACACATGCACACACACGCACACACATGCACACACACACACACACACACACACACACACACACACACACACACAGTAACACACACACACAGCAACAGCACACACACACACACATTGAGCTGTACTTTCTAGTGCAATGCACCTCATTTCCACCTACATGTACGTGTTAACACAGTGCATGCGGAGTGGACATCATACAAAGAACAAACATATGCGTAGAGAAACTTGGATGGGGCAGACAAGGCAAGGTCTTTACTAGGGGTGAAAGTAGGCACTGAGATCCCGAGTTCGAGTACTCTGATTTTCTCCGATCGAATATTCGAGTATTCGAGTATTTTTCATCTCCTAAAAATTGCACACCAGGGGCTTTAAAATAACATGATACAACCCTGATTGAACCGAGTAGCCGTCATTTTTCTCGGGTATATTGGGTAGTGGGTCATTTGGGCTCTCTCTACCCATGAACAAATGTTCACCACACAGACTGCACATCACCATCTGCCGACTGCTGCCCTGAAACTGCAGATTTCTGTAGTAAATGCATGTACCATGTATGAAGGAGTACTCTGATTTATTCCGAGTACGATTATTTTTGAAAAAACCGAGCGAGTACTCGGTATAATTGTTTCACCCCTAGTCTTTACACTGAAACTAGAAAGTATACGACACAGTTTGCAGGACATCAGCACTACCAACCCAGTAGCCTGAGTTGTAAGTACCCTGAGGCAAAGCTTATTCACTCAGTATGCAGGGGCGTACCGGGGGGGGGGGGGGGGGGTTGACGGGTGCGGACGATCCCCCCTCCCCCTCCCCCTCCCCCTCCCCCGGATTATTGTCTCGCACTGCACGTGCATGCGCAGAGAGTACCGGTATCGTGATATCTACTCGTCGCACTGTTACATGCATGCCGGTGTAACCCCCCTCTGAAGAACCCTGCGTACGCCCCTGGTATGGGGGAGGGGGGGGGGGGAGGAAGTTCTCTTCAAAATCTGACATTCACGTTTCTTACGATCACAAGGTAGGAGTAGGTCCTTTACAATAGATTGTTGGAATTCTTGGAAACAGCTGTTCTACCTACACATCCACAATTTTCCACATTCTGTCCTAATTCCGCGTTTTGGATTGGTTCCAGAAAGTACTTTGGAGTCAGATAGTGACGTATAAGCAACGCATTTAGTATTTGGTCAGATTCGGGCCGGGTTTCCGGGCATACAATTGTTCTCTAAATGATGCATACTATGGGTCTGGCATTTAAAACGTACAGGGCATTTTCGGTATTTTTCGAACACCAACAGCAATATCTATTTCCATACGATAATCTGAAGACAGTTGAGCCCTCAAGTTCTGGTGGTCTATTTCCAAACAGTTTCAAGTAATACGAGTGGACAGGCTCATACCTGTTGTTGTTCCAGCTGCTCACTCGTCACGATGTAATTGCACGCATTCTGCAACGACTGCAGCAGCTGTCGGAAACCATTGGATAAGTTTCCTAGCGGGAGCGAGGATGCTGCTGCGGTACTGTCTTGTTCCGTGGTGTCACCGGCAGATGTTGTCTCAATGGCCACAGTGCTGCCGGTGCTGACCACAGGTTCTGGCTTGGGTGATGAAGGTCTGGATGCCTGTAGTATCACATGTGAATACAACGCTATTCATATACGGATACTGTCAGACAAGCAATGCTAATTAACGAACATACAATTCTTACGATTTAACGAATTTATAAAATTCTGTCACATTTGAAGTCGTTATGTGCAAAACGATGATGTACAGCCATTTCCTCGCACCACAGTGGTGCTTGAGGTGAACACAACATACCGGTCGACTTGGCGACGCACTTGTGATCGACAACTGAGTGCCACCTTGCTGAATTCGAACAACCTAGAAAGGCAGGCACATGCAAGCAACAGCAGTAGCAGCAACATCAGGAGCACCAGCAGAACCAGCAGCAGCAGCAGCAGCAGAAAGGGCAATAGCAGCAACAGCAGCAAGGGCAATAGCAGCAACAGCAATAGCAGCAATAGCAGCAACAGCAGCAACAGCAGCAATAGCGGCAACAGCAGCAACAGCAGGAATAGCAGCAGCAGCAACAGCAGCAACAGCAGCAGCAGCAACAGCAGCAACAGCAGCAACAGCAGCAATAGCAGCAACAGCAGCAACAGCAGGAATAGCAGCAGCAGCAACAGCAGCAACAGCAGCAGCAGCAACAGCAGCAACAGCAGCAACAGCAGCAATAGCAGCAACAGCAGCAACAGCAGGAATAGCAGCAGCAGCAACAGCAGCAACAGCAGCAACAGCAGCAACAGCAGCAACAGCAGCAACAGCAGCAACAGCAGCAACAGCAGCAAACTAGATTAAACACTATTACACGGTACATGACAACTAACGGTCACTCACGTGTTGTGTGTGGGTACTGCGGTTACTGTGAGGATCGTGTGCACTGTGAGGATCATGTGCATTGTGAAGATCATGTGCACTGTGAGGGCGGCATACCACTAGCCAGTGAATCACTTTCGTATTCACAAGAAAATATTGAACAGTTGTTGCTTGGACGACGACAGCCCCTTCCCATGGCGGTAAGAGCATAGCTCGCCTGCTGAAGGTCCTTCGTTCTAGTCCTACTTTTGGTAGTAATTTTTTTCTTTTCCTTTTTTACTACCTCAAACTTGAAAATTCAGGTACTTCTAACAACATACTAGTAATCATGACTCTAGTCCATGCGATGAAATGACATTCAGCAGTGGCTCTTCGACTACTTGTACAATCAACATTACTCATTATAGGGTACCTCACTTCAAACTCTCCAACTACGGTCTCTTCGCTGCATATGTTCACTTCACTTCCAAAAAAAACAAATAATATTAGATATAAATTGAATGCACCAATTTGCATTCAATTTATATCTAATATTATTTGTTTTTTTTGGAAGTGAAGTGAACATATGCAGCGAAGAGACCGTAGTTGGAGAGTTTGAAGTGAGGTACCCTATAATGTGTGAATGGCTGCAATGGAGTCTGCGAGTGCTTAGAAAAAATCAACATTACTGTAAGAAGAAAAGAGGACCGAAGAGCTACAAACTACGCTATAACGCCCACTAACAGCACCAGTTACTTTACAATCAGCTCATGCGATAAACATTGCATGACACTGACCAACCGCACTGACGTTCTACACCTAACTGGCAATTTTTCTTCTCATAAATTAATCCCTGGCTCTTCACCAGAGTCTAAAATTATTGTAGCTGAGCATGCCGCAGGTTCCCATGGATAAAACGATGGGATTACCTCAAGCTCGTCATGGGATGAGCAGATATAAGGACATGGGATTGTACAATTATAGGCATTGCTCTACAGGCGGATCAACACGTAGAGGTAATGCGAATGATTTCATCGATATTTTCAAATGGACATAAATATACGAGCGTGAGTCAGCGGCGTTTCGAGTGATCGCTGCAATATGAGTCACTAGTGCAAGTGCAGCGCTGTGCCACAAGTCTGTCACTTTGCCAAAGCATCCGAACTGATAATGCAATTGTATAACCTGTATAGATCAACACATGCACAGTCAGAATTCAAGGTAGCCCATAGGCGTGCATGTGTATGCCATGCCGTGTGCGTCCTTTAGCTGAGCCTATGAGCCCGGCATGGTCTTATACACGAGCAGCCTTGGGCTCGAAGGCGCGGGGAGACTCGACGATGTGTACGAGTATACATGGCGTATTACAGTGCATTGCCATTGGTCATGAAATAAGTAATAACATATCTAGGGGTAGGTAGGAAACGTGCACTGTTGTGCGACTGCATGCCCTCATTTACTTGATTTCCCCAGAAATTCAAGGCAGATGAAACCGTGCTGGGTGGAGGATGGAGAGGGGGGGGGGGGGGGGGGGGGGTGGAGAGGGGGGGGGGGGGGTTGGAGAGAATAATAGACACCCTTAGCAAAAAACGTTATGTTGTAACGGTATTATCGTAAGGGGGAAAATACCGTGATTTGGGTTCGACCTTTAGCAAGATGCACGCTATTTTTAGTACGCTGTTGCCACGAGAATAGCTTTGATTTCGCGCGGTACAACCATTTTTGTCACCATATACGCGATACAAGGTGAATTGCGTACGGACTATGCAATATTTGGCCAAAACACGTACCGTTGGTCAAAACGATAAATCAGCCCCCATAACGTTTATACGCTGCAGCTTCAACGCTATTTGGGTGATCAAGGTACGAGTACCGTAAAAAATAGCGTTACCGTTGTTTGCTAAGGGTGTCTAATAGCTAGTATGTACACACAGAAGACTTACTTGCTCCAATAATTCGCATTTCTCGGCCGTCAGCTTCATCTTCTCCTCTCGCAGTCGTGCCACTTCCTGCTCCAATGCTGCATACGCTTGCTTCAGCTCCTGCATGTGCGTGGCCGTTGTCTGCGAGTTTTGCTGGTGCTGTGCGCCCTGGGAACGAGCCATCGTTACCTGATTGCGCAACACCTCCACCTCCTCTTTCAGGCTCTTCACGCTGTCTGCCGCGCCGGAGTCTTTCTGAAGCCGTGCCACATCTGCTGCCAGCTCGGAGCCTTTGAGCTTTGCCTGGATAACTTCCTGTTGCGATTCTCCGAGTTGTCGTCGTAACAGCTCGATGGTGGCTTGAAGTTTCGTTTCCGTCACCGACTTGGTGTTAGGGTCTATTGGTTGCGTGTGACTTGTGTTGGTACCACTGGGAAGTTCCGGTATGGCTGCATGCGTTACTATGGCACCAGAGCTGTGCTGTCGCCGGTGGCTGGCCTGCGGTGGTGGAGCAATACTCCCGCCCACAGTACCCACAGCTCCGGTGGCGTTGCCAGCGCCTGTTGTCTGTCCGCCCCATACCTGTTGCTGTTGCTGCTGGAACGTCTGGGCATCGAAGAGCACTTCTGCTGAGCTGTGTCGACGCGAGGATTGCGCTGCCGATGGCGCGGCAGCATGCTGAGTGGGTACGTCGGGACGGGATGGTGCAGGCACACTGTCAAAGGTTGCCCATGCAGAGGATGCCGCAGATGACGATGGCCCTGCTGCGCTGGCTGACGTTTGCTCACGTGGTGGAACGTATGGTGGTACGATTGGTCCTGCTACTGGTGCTGCTGCTGACCGGGGTGGAGGTGGCTGCATGCTGCCAGGCTGTGGATTTTGTGCAGCTGGCCTCTGTTGAGCGAATCCTGCTGCATTGTTGTCCGCAGGGAAAGTACTTGCTGTGTTCTGCATTCCCCATGGATCTGATACGCTCATGCGATGCCTATCCGCAAGTGGTGATCGGCCTGATTCCACTGGTCTGACTTGCAACGGTGCGACCGCCGCCGGTGTGTGCTGCGAGGACAGTAGATGTTGAGGTTGCTGCTGCTGATGCTGATTCTGCTGCTGCTGATGCTGTTGGCGTTGCTGCTGCTGTTGCTGCAGTTGCTGACGCTTTTGCTCCAATGCCACTCGCTGTTGTTGCTGAACGTATTGCTGCTGTTGCTGTTGCTGTTGCTGCGCGGTTGGTGCAGAAGATAAAGCCCAAGGATCGCTAGCCGACGAGCCCGCAGCAGCTACGCTTCCACCACTGGGCATACCCGGCCACGGGGAAGACATGATCAGTTAGGCAATCTTCGCTCAAGTTTTCGTATTGCCAGGGCAGTGAATCAAACGCTCATTCCATCTCTCGACGTTACCTATTACCCCTATTCAAGGCAAAAGAAGCCGCTATTTCAAGGACACTTCACAAGTGAAACACAAAAATGCAATTCTTCTTGCGTTGACGATTTGATCGCACTCGCTGCATGCACGCGCCAGCTAGCTATGTCGACGGCACATGTATGTACCGAATGAGAGAACACAGGTGACGCAATGGACCTCCCAGCGCATGGCATGCGGCAGTGACAAAGCGAGGGGCAGGATCTGGGTTGGCTGTCTCATCCAGCGTCTGTATACTGTAGACCTCTACAGTCATGGTCCCACAATGGCCACATACGCATGCATGTACCGTCACTGCGTCAGTGCATCACAGAGCGGTGCGAACTAGGTCAGTTTTTACTTTTTAGTCCTCGGCTGATCTGTAAGACTGTAGACTGTACTGGCGAATCAAGTACCGGAACGACTTCACGGGTTACGTACATAGCGATGTCCAATGCACTCGATGTCCACAGACAGTCATGGTCAACATGCATGGTCAGTACAGAAAGATGACGAAGACTGTATGTAGGTGGTGTATTTACCATGATTTACAGTCAGTAGGCGAGTTGCTGGGTGAAATGGGGGTGTGCATGAAGCCTGTGCGCGTGTGTGACCGCGGCCTTGGGACCGACCCACGGGAAGGTGCGAGTGAACATGGTGAAGGCCTTGTCTCCTGCCTCGACTCGAGTTTGACATAGCTGGGGAAACAGCAGGCCAGGTCGGCAGATGCACCAGATCAGACTGACCAGGTCTACCGTCTAGTGCCACTGCCAGGCCCAGACCGTCACAGACTGTCAGTGCAGTGATGGCATGTGCAAGACGCATACTGCACTGGTAGTGACAAGGAGAAGTCATTCCCTTGACATCTCACTTCTCAGTGATGTTGTCTTTCTTCTTCTCAGAGAGCTCCGGGCGCGGGCGCTGATGGCCATTGCCAATGGTTGGGCTGTGAAGTATGACAGCAGTAGACCTTGGTGGAATGTTGTCCACATACAGTCATGAACATGAACGCGTACATGTACGTACAACAAGACTATGACTGTAGTCTGTTAGTGGCATTATATTTATACGAGCCCCGACCATGCGTGGGCCACGCGACCCCAATGAAATCACCTGATCGGAGACCACAGCTACAGAAAACTGCCAGAAATGCAAAGCCTCCTAGGCCGCACGTTCTCGTTACGTATTAAACGTACATGTACTAAATAATTTCGTTTTTGATCGAGGTCTGTCAGTGTCACCCCGGCCGAACGTTCGGAAAAAACTATAGTTTGGTACAAACTTTAGTTATTTCGTGCCACCTATTACGAATACAGCGAAAGTTAATTCCAAACCAAAATGCAACCGGAATCGAGGCTGTATCACCATGATCACCTTCCAGTACCTATACAGCTCTGTGATCTGTGATAAGACTGTATCCGTGCAGCTTTGTTCTTCGCATTGCGCTCGATCCCGCTAGTCACTCTGTGCTCCACTGAGCTGCATGCATGAGGCGGGCGGGAATTTCGGCTGGACCCAACCCAGGGGGGGGGGGGGTTGAAACATTGAAACCGCTATCTAATCGGAGGTTGTGATTATTACACGTGTCTCTTTTAGGCTAACTCCATCTGGTGCCAGTGGAGGCTCCCTACATGGGAGCTCGCGCTTTTCCTGCCGATTTGAATTCTCACTTGACTGACTCACGACTGCTATCCAGAGCACACGAGAAGTCCATCGAACCGTCCACTGGGCAAACCTGCAAGAAAGCACCCTGCTCAATACACAGTGTTTCAGGGAATTCACCGCTCATCAGTAATAACAATACAGTAATTATTACTGATGAGCGGTGAATTCCCTGAAACACTGTGTATTGTTGAGCTTCAGTAGGCTGGGGAAGATTATGCCTGAAGAGCACCACAGTCATAAATAGTGCTCTCCAGGCAAAAACATCACCAGGGATACAAACTTACAGAGACGCTCCGTTTCCAGCGCGACAAACACCTCGTGAACACCAGATACATGTAGCAGCGTGAGTCAGTATCGCTCATGGAGGTGCTGAGCAAGCACTGAGGACCGTTGGCCATTCACAACGTTGTTGCCTCCAAACTATCGCCCGCGCTGGGGACAACAATGTGAAGAAGAGGTTGGTGCGACTTTTTTTTTCTTTTTTTTTTTCTACAAAATCCACATATCTCCAGACACTTCGGCGATAACTAGGAAATTGTGTGTTGCTCCCTACATGTTGACTTTCAGAGACACTCCGTTTCCAGCGCGACAAACACCAGTCCTCGTGAACACCAGATAGCAGCGTGAGTCGCAGACGTCGAGCCTCGAGGACCCTCGGTCATTCTCAACGCTGTCAGTGTCACCTACGAAAAAAACTAGTCGCAAGCCCTCGCTTGCGACTTTCTTGCGGGTTTGCGACTAGCCAGTTTGGTGGTGACAGCGTTGTGGATATGACCAGTGATGACTGATGGTCCTCGACGTCTGTTCTCACCAGGGAGTCGACTCCCTGGTGCTCACCGTCCAGGATCTAGACTAGGATCGGGACACCATGCCATGGACACAGAGAGGTTAGCACAGCGTAAAAACGTAACCATGGTAACGTATGTATCTAATATTGACTGAGTACGAGGTCAATGTAGGAAATAAAAGCCGAGTAAAAGACCGAGGCGAAGCCGAGGTCTTTTACGAGGTTTTTATTTCCTATACTGACCAAGTACGAAGTCAATATTAGATTTATCACGACAAACAGTCCGTATTTCAAATTCCAGAACGATAACCTCATGAATCCCGTTTTATGATTGCACAACCGTTGCACCACGGCCTACTCATGCAGTGACAATGCTGCACTAGGCACCGTTCAACTGCGCAACCCCTTAGGCCGAAGTTAGGGCCGTTTCACACGAGTATACATGGCTTTTCACGAATGGGCGTTCTAGGCACAGTACACAGCGCGTGATTTCACACGAGTGTCGCAACATGCTTTTCAAGCAGCAGTTGCCATGGCAGCTTTGACCTGCCTCGCACAGAAGTCGTAAAATACGGAATCCGCACGCGAACGCGGGAGTTTTGAACACAAAAGAATAATAATTATTATTAGTTTGGCAAGGAGATGTTCTGTCCCTGATTCTCGTTTTCTTTGATCGCCACAAGGAGAGAAAGATGAACGGACGAGAGAGGTTGCAAAGGATGGCGAGGCGAAGAAGGACTGCATTGCCCTCGCTTGTTCAAAGTGTAATTTCAAGTTTTTCTCTGGATTCAACCATCCTGAGCGGAACGCAGCATTGAGTTTCTCGGCGATCTCCCTTTCCCTCACAATACGCTTCACCATCTGGCCACTTTTTGACTTTTGATAGTCGGCCCACAACTCAATAAGTCTAGCCTCCAGGTCATCAGAGAATATTTGGCGAGGCATTGTCCGAAACGGAAGGCACAACCAGCAACCAGCAATGAAAGCAAACAGAAGCAAAAAAAGCAAACACGACGACAGATCACAATGCAAGGAAAACGAAGTTTGTCAGTAGAACGCTGGGTATATCCTGCTTTCTACACCCCTCCTGGTCTTGCTGAAAACGTACACGATGCGTTTCACATTTCGCGCCAAAAGTGCTCCATCTCCTTGGGAACATAACCGGAAACGTGACATGTACGCGATTTTGTACCTCGTGTGAAACGGCCCTAAGCAGTCAAATATAAGCCGTCAATATAGCCCTAAGGAGTGAAATATGCAGGAATATTTGACTGCTTAGGTATGGCAAAAATCTATGTGAGTCAATACTAAGGGAGTGATAACATATAATACATATCGGTGTCGCTCATTGGATTTTACTACGTTTTTATCCACCTCCACATGCTCCATGATCCAGGCTCCATGATCCATCGAACGTTGTAACTCGTAACCCTGCCCCTGGAAATCCAAAATAGCACCCGGTAAAAGGCTGTATTGCTACAAAATAATTTCGAATGTTACCTTTTCAATACAAGAAATAATAATTTTTTAGATGAGCTTGCTCAAGTTAGTTGTTTATTTGGTTCTCGCTCCGCAAACCGCTCTCTCAATCCTTCTAACAGCTGTTCTTTCTCCTGAAACTTGACGGACACGCCACTTTGCTTTCGCTGTCGACTGTCCTCCCGGAGGAACTCTTCCATCCGATGTATTGCCCTCTCCCGAAGTGTCCATACCGTGGCTTTAGAGAAACGGCCAGGGAACGAAGTAGTTAGTTTCACTGTATTGGCGATCTCTTCCCAGCATGGAGATGCCCGCACGAAAGCATCACGGTTCAAAACGCTGTGACCTCCCGTAGGAGGCTAACATCGTGGCTCGCCTGGAAATACATTCTACCCTTCACCTGACCGACCACAGGAGACGACACTACCACCATAGCATCCAGAGAAGTCGTGGACGACGACGCTGACATTTCCCAAACTTTCAGACAGTGAACATTAGCCTACAGGTGTGTATAATCATTTTTTAGCAAAAAAAACTGGAAATCTATTTTTGGTCTGTGGTGGTATTTTAGCATGGCTCATCTATGTAGAATGATATGCAATCGGATGAGCAGAAAAATCAGCAGAACTCCAAGTTCTTCCAGCAGAATTTTGAGCAGACTGAAAAGCAGAATTGCATCTTTCGCCGAGCATTGTCCACCAGTGCATATTGCTGAGTCGAAGGTTCGATGGACTTCTCCTGTGCTCTGGATGGCAGTCGTGAGGCAGTCAAGTGTCAAGTCGGCGGAATAGCGCCAGCTCCAGTGTGCGGAGCAGACACATTCCTAACAAAATGCAATGAATACTAAAATTAATCAATACAACCAGCCACGAAATGAATCACTTGAAGCCAACCACTGAGTACATGATCAGCTGCACCGTGAGGAAATACCACCTGGACAAGACAGTGACTGAATCACTGAGGCTGACAAAGGTAAGCATGATAACACCTGGTCTTGCCGTATTTCCTATAGGAAGCTATGGCAGGTTTTGACAAGGGATGGCAGTGGTACCGGTATTGGCACATAGCACAGTGTGAAACTGCACAAGTCATGTACTCGCTTCTCTAGTGTCTATCTTGACTGCCATGGAAATGTGCGAAGCGCCTAGTATAACACGGATCATTTCATGAAACGGCGGAGGCGTGCTATTTGTTGATTTTTTTGGAAAATCTAACTTTACATGGAAAGACAGCCAGACAACGACACAACTACC